AGTTTGCAAGCCTTGAGCAAGGCTGTTAATGACAGGGCATTTTACAGGTCAAGACTTTGTAACCAACTGATTATATTTGTTTTTGCTCACTTGTTTACTTATTTATAATATTTTGACCTGGTCTTTTTACTGTATAAATAGTGCCCAAAGCAGCTTATGATAAATAAATGAAACTTTAAAACAATAGCAATATAGCAGGGACAAGAGCAGCTGTGGTTAAAATATCCTATGCAACACTAGGAATTGGATAGGAGCATATAAATGAATCACCACAATCTGTTCGCCTTTAAATGCTTTTTAGAATAAAAAGTCTTGATTTTATATTGGAAGGATGGAGGAGACATATTGGAAGGGGGAGTATTCAGTGTACTGCTGCTGAGAGAGCCCTAAGCCATGTGCCTGCAGTGTCGTGTGGAAGCAGGGCCCCAACAGAAAGCCCACGGTGACTGGCAAATAATGCTTTCTCCCACATGGTCTTGCCCTGGCGGTTAAGATGAACTTCACAGGCCTTCCAGTGCCTACTTTGTGAATTGAGGTGGGTAGGCCAAAGTCTTTTCTATTTTGGCACCCCAGCTCTGGAATTTCTTCTTCACAGAAATCTGCGTGGTGCTAATCCTACAGAATTTTAGTCAGCAGGTAAAAATATCCCCTCCCCCACCAGTCATTGGTTAGTGTTCCCTTTCTTCCCCTTTCCTATTATGTGTTTCTTTAATAGCTGAATTTGTTGGTTCGGTTGCCACTTACTAAGACAGCACTGAGAAAGTTTTAGAGCAGTCTGCTGGTATTAATTTTGTGAGTGTTCGTTTGATGTTGGTGGTTGAACTTTGGATATTATGATATTTCCTATTGCTGTTTTAGCTGCTGCTCTGCCTAAGTATTTGTTGTTGATGGTTATTTATTTATCTCTATGACTGTGATTGGAGCTGCGGTGGCTCAAGTGGTTAAGACTCTGAACTCCAGGCTGTGGAAGGTCAGTAGTTCAGCAGTTCGAGACCCGGGTGCCGCATGATGGAGTGAGCTCCCATCTCTAGTTCCAGCTCCTGCCACCCTAACAGTTCGAAAGCAAGAAATTGCAAGTAGATAAATAGGTACCACTTCGGTGGGAAGGGAATAGTGTTCTGTGCGCCTTGGTGTTTAGTCATGCCGGCCACATGACCACGGAAATGTCTTTGGACAGCGCTGGCTCTTCGGCTTTGAAACAGAGATGAGCACCGCAACCCTAGAGTCAGACTTGACTGGCTTTCAAGCAAGGGAACCTTTACCTTTACCTTTATGACTGTGATTAGCTGCCTTGGGAGTACTTTTACCAAGAGGGTGAGAGAAAAGTGCCGTGAGCAGGTAAATACAGATGGAGGCAATCCTCTGGGTCATTACCTGTATCATGGTTTGACTCAATGGGAGGAAATTGGTGGTTTAGAAGAATGGGGATGGGGACTGTAAATACAGGACCATTGCCCACTCCTGAGCTGCTTAGCAGTGGTCACTGTTATCGACGGCACTAATCCTCCATGCTTCTTGGTTCGTCTTCATGGTCTGCCTCCACAGCTGCAAAAGCAACTTTGGAAAGTTCTAGAGTTCTAGCCCAGAAACTGGCACTCAAATTGCCTTCCCCGAGGGAGAGTTTTGCCACTCTGCGTGTCCAAAGGGAGGAATGAACTCCTTAGTTCTCCTCCAGCTGCCATGCTGTTAGCAGCTCTGTGTTCTTTTGAACTTTCTTAGGGTTTTCCCCCCTCTTAGTGTTTTTCTCATTTCACCTTACCTTTTGCACTTTTTGCTGTTTTTTTCCTCTAACTTTTTTTAAAGCAAAGGTTAAAACCCCCACAGTGTCATTTAGTAGATGCCAGTCCTCCTAGTCCTCCTCCTCCTCTCTCTCTCTCTCTCTCACACACACACACACACACACACACACACACACACTCTCTCTCTCTCTCTCTCTCTCTCTCTCTCTCTCTCTCTCTCTCTCTCTCTCTCTCTCTCTCACACACACACACACACACACACACACACACACACACACACACACACACACACACACAAACACACACACTCTTTATCTTAGGCTGGGTACAGCACAATGGCCTACCTTTACAGGTAGCTCCCTGGTTTGGGTGGGTACAGCTTGTTCCTGCTGTGGGGAAGACCGCTCCAAGAATGACTCTTGTCCTTATTGTTCAGAATTTACCAAGCAAGCCATGCAGAATCGTAAGTCTGTTCTCCCACATGCTCTTTTGGGAAGGAAATCATCACCACTTACTTCCATGGCTCAATGCGATCCATCTGCTCGGTTACCTACTTTGGAATCCCAGCCTTTGATCCTGTCAGCAGGACCGGTTGGGCACACAAAAAGAACTCTCGAGCATTGGCTTTAGACTAATAAGCAACTGCCCTAAAGGGGTCATAGTACCAAGATAGAGAAAGGCACAGTGTGGAGAGTCCAGGCACAGTTTAACAGTGAACCCGTGCACATCTGTAAGCCCCCAAATCAACAAATTCAGTCTTGCCAGCTAGGCTTTCCAGTCATATCCTGCAGACTTGACTGAGAACCGAGTGTCTCCATTGCTACATCTGTACAGCAAATTAAAGGTTTTCTTTTTCTCCTGCGGAGCATTAGCGTTTTGGGGCTTTGGATGGATTTTGAAAGCTCCGGAGACCACTGAACTAAACGCAGCCTCACATATGAGATGAAGCTCCTCTGACAACGTATTAAGGAATGTAGCAGGAGTACAAGTTGACCTTTTTGGTTTGTGCAGCAGAGTCAGAATTTCTGAGGCAAATCCCCAAATCCAAGCTACTGAGTCTAGCTGCCTTTATCTAGAGCTTTAAACCTTAATACAGATGATTTAATTAGGTGTGTGTACCTGGAACAGACCTCTTTGATTATTTGGTTGGGAATAGACAAGAATTAATTGGGCTGGACCTGCCACCCCCCCCCACCTTGAATTTTGATTGAGAGCTTTATGCTTAAAATTTCCAACCCTCTCCCCTGAGTTTCCATTCAACAAGAGATGGGGGCACCTCTCTGACCTTCAGCCTACGTTCATTAAAAGTGTTTCCCGTCCTGTTTTCCAAGTTCAACTGTTATTAATCACAGAGTGGTCCCTTGAGGCGGACATTGGCAGAAAGCGTCTTGCAGGAGGGGCAGAGAGGGCCGCAGTGTTCTATTAGCTGATGCGTAGAAACCCATTGGCTTTCTTCTAAGAGCTCTAGTGATGGAAAGTTTCCTTCGCCCCCCTCAAGTTGCTCATTTGTGGAACTGAAAACTCCCCCAATGAAAGCAGATCACTCCAACATGCTTGCCTTTTGGGGATGGGCCACACAGCGGCAATAGTGCCCCCGTCTGACAGGCTCCTGGAGCTGACAGTGGTTGCTTGAAACTTATCAGTCATGCATTGTCTGGAGACCTGATCAATGTTCCCTCTAAGCTGTGGAGTCTTGTGAGCCAAAATTCTAACTTGTGAGCTACTGGCATTAAAGTTGTGAGCAAGCGATTTGGCTACAGCATAAATGAGTTTGCTCTGTAGCCATCCTTCCTGAGCGAAGACAAAAATGTGTGGGCCAGGGGCTAAGAAACTGTGAGCTAGCTCACACTAACTCAGCTTAGAGGGAACACTGGACCTGATGTGGTGTCGTTGTTAGAATGCTAGACTAGGACAGGAGAGACCCGCATTCCGTCCCCACTTGAAGGATCATGCAGGATGCTAGGTCACCTTGGACCAGTTGCTCTCAGCCTAATCTACCTCATGGAAATGCTAGGAGAAGGAGGAAGAAGTGATAATGGGTGCTGCCTTGAGTTCCTTGGAGAAAGTGGGTGTTTGTTAATTCTAACAGAGGGAGCAGATAAGTTTGCTTAGTGGAGTGAACTTTTAGATCTGTGTGTGTACGAATTGGAAAACTGGGAATGGAGTAGCTTCTGGAAACCTCAGGAGCTTCTGTGTCTAAACTGCAGCCTGAATAGCCCAGACTAGCTCATTAGCACTCAGAAGATAAGCAGGGTCTGCCATGGTCAGGTGGAAGACCACCAAGTTAGACTAGGGTTGCTATGCAGTGGAAGGCAATGGCAAACCACCTGTGTCATGCTTAGTACTTGGATGGGAGACCACCAGTTTGGTGTAGTGGTTAAGTGCGCGGACTCTAGTCTGGGAGAACCGGGTTTGATTCCCCACTCCTCCACTTGTACCTGCTGGATGACCTTGGGCAAGCCATAGTTCTGGCACAGCTGTTCTTGAAAAAGGGCAGTTTCTGTCAGAGCTCTCTCAGCCCCACCTACCTCACATGGTGTCTGTTGTGGGGAGGGGAAGGGAAAGGAGTTTGTAAGCCGCTCTGAGACTCCTTAGGGTAGTGAAGGGTGGGGTATAAATCCAATCTCTTCTACCATGGAAAGCCACAGCTGCTATGCAAAGGAAGGTAATACTGAATGGATCTCTTACCTTGAAGACCCCATGAGGTATTGCCATGAGTTGGTTGCAATTTGATGACTCTTAATTATTATTTAAACAAAAAAAACCCCCAAACAACCATTCCCCCAAACTTTTCTCTGGCTGCCATCTTGAATTCCATTGATTTTTGTGGCATGTGCTTCCAAGTTTTGCATAAATCAGAGGACATTACTTCTAAGTAAGCAAGGCCAGGTTGGGGAATCCACTACTACTATCTGTTTGAAAAGGAGAAATAAAAGTGAAGAAACCATATTTGATGATGATCTTGAATACATTTCTCCAAAGGCTTTAAATCTCCAGTCCATGTGCTCTACTAGGTAGATAAGGGTTGTAAAATGTTTTGCATGGGAAAACATGCTCTTTTTGTTGTTTTTTGAGGTGCTTTCAGATTACAGTGGTTTGAAAGCTTCTTTCAGAAGTCCCTGGAGCATAAGTAACATAAAGCAATGAAAAGTGAAACTTAACCTTCAAAGGCTTTTTGAAACTTTTTGTGTGTTTGGGTAAATGAAGTTGTTCTGTTTTTGTTCACTTGCTGACATTCTTCCTCCTGGTTTTCTCGATTAGGACCTCCGAAATCAGCTTGAGAAATCTCACGACGAAATGGTTGAGAAAGACAAGGCGATGGAACAACATTACAACGCTCTTTTGAGCGAAAGCAATCAGAAATTGCAAAGCCAAGAATTGGTCGTCATGCACTTAATGGACAGTGCCAGTCAGAAGGATCAGATGCTCCAGGTAGGCAGGCTTGAGCTCCAGAGCAAGACAGAAAATAACCGATTAGGAATTTGAACAAAATGTTCCATTTTGAGCTGGCTCTTCTGATTTCTTTTTTCTATGACAGCCCATCACTTTTGATTATATTGCAGAGTTCTGGCATGCTTCATAATTTCTCTTATTGGAACCTAAGAGGTTTAGGGGATTTCCCCCCTCTGTAATCTGCAGGAGAGCTGTGATGCTCGTATCAAGATTTTTTCCTGCTCTAATAAAGAAAATTCCCAGACATTTGCTGTCTTTGTTTGCTTCCCAGAAACCAATACTTAAAAAGGGTAGTTCAAGATCCTTAACTGTGGCTGGAATCTAAATGAGCCTGTCGACTGTCAGAGAAGGTTTTTCTCCTCCCCAGATGAGCCCTTCTGCTCATGAAACAGACTCCTTTTGGATCCAGTCCGTTGTCTTCATCCTTGGGGGATATTTCTGTTGTTTGGTCTTTCCTTATTAACAGTCCTGGTTCAAATTTACTTGGGTGGTTTCATTAAAGGTGAATAAATTGTGGTTCTATACTATGTTAACAAATTAGATTTACGAATATTACAATGAAATCAAAGTTGGGTACAGAATCTCTGCTTGCCAAGTTATTGACTAGTGACCTAGAAACATTGGCTGGCAATGATGTTGAGAGTCAGGTTTGGATGCACATGTAATTGACCTTGTGCAGCGGCCCAGGGTGACTGGGACTGCAACTGCCAACCATTTCCTTGAGAGCACATCTCCCTGAGAGTGTAATTGTAGCAGGTGGGGCCAGACTGTGGTCATGGCATGCTATGAGACTAGTCATGTGCTTCTGTGCATAATACCTCCCTGATTAGTAACGTCACCTAGAAGAGCCAAGAAGGCAGGACTTCCTCTTATAATTTGTTAGCCAACCACTTTACTGAAGACTGAAGGTGCTCCTTTATTTGCCAACCATGTCGAAAAACCAAGAGGGTAAAGTGTCTTCCTGTTTTGCCCTTCAGTAGACTGCTTGAAAAGGACCAGGATATTGCTTTCATTTGTTGTTGCCTACTGCTCTGTTTACGGTGCATACTTTCCATTTGTTGTCTGCTTGGGACATGTGGTAGCTGCAATTTTTTGCTTCTTACTATCACTGGGATTATCTTTCTCCTGGGTCTTCTCTTTTTTTGGGGAGGGGGAAATGCTCTTCAAGATCTAACCCTTTGTCTTGCTTTTCTTCTTAGGACAGCTTTCTGCTTTACTTTTTACAATATATTTTTAATTGGTGACTTCTGTCTCCTAGGAGCTAGTGGTGGTGGGCAAACTCCCGTCAACTCAATTTCAAATGGTTGGGGGTTCACTAATACTTGTTTGTTTTCCCCAGCGCCTTTCAAAATTCAGAAACTCCTATGTACTCTTGATGACATCATCAGGAGCATGATTAGTCTTGAGCACATCTCTCCACAACCCTCTCAGTCTCGCTAAGCTGTGGCCTTCCTGGTATAAAGTAGTATGTGCATAGGTTTTGGTGGATAGCCCATTGTTTGGCCTCTGTAGGTAAGAGATCTTCTTCGTGGTCTCTGTGCCTCACACCAATGGGATCTAGTGCGCCTGCACTGGATCTGCCGGTGCCGTAGCAAGCTCTCTTAAAAGGATTTTCGTGCCTGGCCCAACTGAGCATGCTCAGGAGCCCCCGTGAGCATGCCCAGAAGGGCAGGCATGGACATCCCGCCAGTTCCTACCAACCACCGCATATCAATCTCCTAACAAAACAGGTAGAAGAAGACAGCAGCGGGGCAGGAGGGCGGGTGGTGTGAATGCACAGATGACCACTCGAAGATCACCACATCCCACCAGTTCTTTCCTTACCGCCGCGCTGAGCAGACCTGTCTTCGAGAGGTCTGGCCGGATCGCTGTTTTTGGTCACTTTTAGTGACCAGCTGTCGTTTTTTCTCTCAGTTTCTCTTCTGTTTTCCTTTTTTTTGTCGTTTTTTTTTTTTTAAAAAAGGAGAGTTTTTGTTTTTCGTCGTCTGAGGTAAAATTACCTCAGGCCTTTGGGCCGCTGGGCCCCCCCACCACCAACCCTTCTCGTCGTTTGGACTTTTTCCTCCTCAGTCTATGGGGAAAAAGACAAAAGTCAAAGAAGTGGGGATTTTTCAATCATTGTCGTACTTGTGGAAGTAAATTGGCTCCTCCAGACGGTCACAAGTACTGTATTTTCTGTCTTGGGGAGACCCACAATCCAGACTCCTGTGAAC